TCGAACAGACCCACCAAGTACGCCTCGCTAGCCTCCTGCAAAGCCATGACGGCAGAGCTCTGGAAGCGGAGATCGGTCTTGAAGTCCTGAGCGATCTCCCGCACCAGGCGCTGGAAAGGCAACTTGCGGATCAACAGCTCTGTGGATTTCTGGTAACGGCGGATCTCCCTGAGAGCCACGGTACCGGGCCTGTAACGGTGAGGCTTCTTGACGCCGCCGGTGGCCGGGGCGCTCTTGCGCGCAGCCTTGGTAGCCAGCTGCTTCCTCGGGGCTTTACCACCGGTGGACTTACGAGCGGTCTGCTTGGTTCTTGCCATGTCTTCGAACTCTACTTTTCTCTGCGAAGCAAAAAGAATGAACTCGCGCGCACACCTCCGCTCTTTTATGCTTTGGAGCTGCTCTCCGCCCTCTGGGCATCTTGGATGTGAGCGCCTCCCATTGGACGGCAGTCCACGCCTCAGTCTAACGCTATTGGGCGTCTTCTGTCGCGCCAACATTTTCAAAACACAAGACACTGCCCCAACGCCGTGGCGGGCTTCTGCATTATAGCCGAACTAATAAGCATTTTTTTTCTTCCTTACACGTGGTGTGTAACGTTATTCTGATTTTTGCTTTTCTTTATTATACCGCTGTTATTTCACCTTAACCCGCGCCCTTATACAGACGTTCCTGTGTGTTTATTCACTACATGTGTTAGAGTACAATAGAATCTTCAAAGCCTTTTTTTCAGTATACAACGGCGGAACATGTAGAGATGCTTTGCCTTTTGTTTCACTCTAATGTACACACAATCACCGATCGATCAACGGCCGCCTTTCTTTTTGGTGGCATGAAAGAAAGAAAAACTGCACTCCTGTCGCTGAGGTGGGTGGCTCTTAAAAGAACCGTTGGATATATACGAATCAAAAGAGAAAACCAGTTTACTTGGTCTTGGCCGCCTTCTCGGTCTTCTTGGGCAGCAGGACGGTCTGAATGTTGGGCAGAACGCCACCCTGAGCGATGGTGACTCCTCCGAGCAGTTTGTTGAGCTCCTCGTCGTTACGAACGGCCAGCTGCAGATGACGAGGAATAATACGAGTCTTCTTGTTGTCGCGAGCGGCGTTACCGGCCAACTCGAGAATCTCAGCGGTCAGATACTCCAGCACGGCAGCCAAGTAGACGGGAGCACCGGCGCCGACGCGCTCGGCATAATTACCTTTGCGCAGAAGTCTGTGCACACGGCCCACGGGGAACTGCAGCCCAGCGCGGGAGGAGCGAGTCTTGGCTTTAGCCCTAGCCTTCCCGCCGGTTTTGCCTCTTCCGCTCATTTTACGTTACTATCGACTTCGTCACACAAAGTTGAAATAAAGAACCTCGGTCACCGAACGCCCTTCATATAGGCAAAGCGGCTGCGTTTCTATTGGCTGAAATGCGACGGCCTCCAACAACCAATCCCTTTAGCGCCGTCAAAGGGTCCGCCCACTGTACGACCCGCTTCTCCACCTCCCCTTCGTGTTGCCTCCTGCGTGTGTGTGTGTGTGTGTGTGTGTGTGTGTGTGTGTGTGAGTGAGAGAGAGCGAGAGAGAGAGAGACAAAAGTGGGAAGGAAGTAAAGAAACGTATACACGGCACGGTTTTCTGTTCCATTCCCGCTCCTGTTTTCATCCATGTAAATGCAAAACTCGGTTACTGTGTCGAGCCCGGCGCTTTCCTATATTTTATTTTGGCTACCAATTTAAATTAAATTAGTAATAACTTTATGTGTAGTGCGAAGGAAAACCCAACTCTTCCTGTTAAGCTTGGATCTAAACTCAAAACTTACTAACTACAGCATACCTCTGCAGGACATGTACCTTATTGATTATTATTATGATCCACTTATTACTCTTTTTTAATGAAGTTTGAGCTCTCTCTCCATTCATCCCTCCCACACTCACTGGCATCTTCTGACTCCGCTGTGGAAAACCTTCAAATACAGTAACACACAAGAGAATATCAAAAAGTATCTGTGCGTATATATATACATACATACACACACATACATCCATACACACGTTTTATTTATTTATTATTTGCCCGCACAACCGTAATTTCTCCCCACCTACAATGTAAAATCGTGTCTTTATTCAAATATACAAGAAGGGGGAGCGGGGGAAACACTCTTTAAGCGAAATCTTGGGTGGCTCTTAAAAGAGCCGTTGGGTTTGATCAAGTCGGGATCACTTCTTATTTGGAGCTGGTGTACTTGGTGACGGCCTTGGTGCCCTCGGACACGGCGTGCTTGGCCAGCTCACCGGGAAGAAGCAGGCGCACGGCGGTCTGGATCTCCCTGGACGTGATGGTGGAGCGCTTGTTGTAATGAGCCAAACGGGATGACTCACCGGCGATGCGCTCGAAGATGTCGTTGACAAACGAGTTCATGATGCCCATCGCCTTGGAGGAAATGCCGGTGTCGGGGTGGACCTGCTTCAGCACCTTGTACACGTAAATAGCATAACTCTCCTTCCTAGACTTTCTACGCTTCTTGCCTCCCTTGCCGGCCGTCTTGGTCACGGCTTTCTTAGATCCCTTCTTCGGCGCGGATTTCGCGGGTTCAGGCATTGCTCTCCTCTTCGAGTAGGACTGAAGAATGAGGAGACGCGCCCGGCACCGGCTTATTTAGACTCCGACATTCAAAACTCCGCCTTCACAACGCTGTCAAACGATCATTGGACAGCAATCAAAGACTGCTTGGCGGACGACTCCCAGCTCTCGCCTAACGCCCCCTCCTCTTCCTCCCCACCAGCTAAAGAGTTTTCCTTTGTTCACGTTCCCGCGCATTCTTAGCTACCGTGTGTGCTGTACAACAGAGTTGTGCCTGTCAGACTTGTTCCTAATATAGCGATTTTGTGTTGTCTTTTTTCCTACCGCATGTACACACACGCACGTAAGCTAAACACTCATTAACTCACGCAAGTGCATAAAATGACAATACAGCTTAAAACACTTGTGGGACCCGTGAAGCTACTTTATATACTCTCCCCTCTTCTCCTGTTGTTCAGGCGTTAGACTAAGCTGACGCTATCCGTCTTTAAAAGGTAACTCTCATCAACTCACCAAAGCGCATTTAACCAACACTTTTCGGGATTATCAAGCTACTTTATAACGTTACTAAGAAAACTAAGAAACTAAGACTAAGAAAACATATATATATATATATATATATATATATATATATAACACACTGACAATTTTGATGAAGCTTGTGCGCCGTCATGTGGTCAAACCGTGAACTGGCAAGTCCGAGAAAGACCATTGTAAATGTTGAACTACTGTATGAAATGACGTGATTTGCTTGTTGTAATTACTCTAAAATTATTGTCATTTTATTTTCTATTTTATTTACGGACCATCACAAACACAGTAATTCAAGAAGTCACTTAGTAAAAAAGTATTTCCACATTTTACGAAAGTCTCACTTATTCCACTACTTGCTGGTTCACATTTTAACCACACGGTGGCGACCAAGCTCCATCGATGACAAATCGCCCTCAGCCAAAAACCCCAATTAATTATTTGCATATTTACGTCGCATGTGAGACAGATTTGTTGCATTTACATGACAGCAGGCACTGAGTGGTATGAGGTAAACTCAAAGCACATATTATAGACATAACTAACTCAAACTTGCATCAATATTATAGTGTAAAGTAAAGTGCATAGTGAAAGTGTCATTACAGTAATAGTTATGATATATTGCACAGTGTGTATTAATCGGAGAGGAGACACAGTGATGTGGATCAGCGCAGTTCAGATAGCAGGAGATTAGTACCATCTCTGCAGAAGCACTGAATGTGCTTCTCTGTTTATCCAGTGTAGCATGCAGAGGGTTTGAGGTGTTATCCATTATGGATAACGGCTTGTTCAGCGTCCCCTGTTCTGCCACAACCTCCAAAGAGTCCAGCTTGACTCCGACAACAGAGCCAGCCTTCCTAATAAGTTTATTTATTTTGTTCAGAGCACTTTTGTTAATGCTGCTGCCCCAGCACACAACAGCATAGAATAAAGCACTCACTACAACAGACTGGTAGAATGTCCATAGGAGCTTAGTGCACACACCAAAAGACCTCAGCCTCCTCAGGAAGTAGAGACGGCTTTGGCCTCTCTTGTACACCGCGAGAGTGTTACAGCTCCAGTCCAGCTTGTTGTCCAAGCGCACACCCAGATATTTGTAGGTCCCGACCACCTCCACAACAACTCCATCAATAGTGACTGGTGACAAGGCATCTCCTTAGTCTTACTGATGTTTAGCTGCAGCTGGTTCAGCTTACACCAGTCAACAAAGTCCTTCACCAGCTTCCTGTATTCCTCCTCCTGTCCATTCCTCATGCACCCCACAATGGCCGTTTCGTTCGAGAATTTTTGCAGATGACACGACTCTGTGCTGTACCTGAAGTCAGAGGTGTACAGGTTGAACAGGAATGGAGCTAACACCGTCCCATGGGGTCCCCAACACTGCACACAGCCTTGTCTGAGACACAGCCCTGCAGTCACACATTCAGTGCTGTTGAATGCCTTCTCTTGGGGACAAGATGTTTTCCACATAACTGGGACTCTCTTCAGGCTGCAGCTCAGATTAAAGATGTGCTGAAGAATTCCACACAGCTGCTCCACACACAGTTTCAGCACCGTGGGTTCAATGCCATCAGGTCCTGCTGCTTTGCTCTGCTTGAGTTTTTTCAGTTCAATCTTCACCTGACAGGCAGTGAATGTAACATCACTGGACATTCCAGTTGTGGGGGGTGGCTGAGAGGTGTCCATTGCAGACAGTGGTTGCTGATGGTCACAGGTGTGAATGGCTGTGGTGGAGGAAGGTGAGGCTGTGGATGGCCCATGGTGTAATTGTGTAGGTGTGTTAATCTGCGTAGGAGACAGACGCAGTGGAGCAGGAGAGGAGCCGTTGTCAAACCACACAAAGAACTGGTTTTACTGATTTGCCCATTCAGGCTTTCCCCCTGCTGGGATAGGGCTGCACTGGTTGAAGCCAGTAATGTCTTTTAGGCCTCTCCAGACATCACGAGTGTTATTCCAGCTTGGACTTGTACTCCTCTTTGGCCTTCTTAATTGAGATTTTAAGCTCTTTTTGTACCCTCTTCTTATATATTTATATATTTATGCCTATATGTTTATGTTCCTATATATTAAAATCAGTGTCTAAGTTAAACATAATAAACACATATTGTGCCATAACAACACATCAGCGTGTTCATTATCCTAAAACAGCTGGTGTGTAAAAGCGGAGAAACACATTTACTGAGTGTCGATTAAGACACGGGTTTCCGAGCTCAGTCGGTAAAGGGGATGAAATCCTACACAATATGTGTGATATTTAACTGCTCTCTTTCAGAGTGTAGTGATGATATGAGTGACTGAATAAAAGCAGCACCGAATATGGAGTTTCATTATTAACGTGCTGATCAGAGAAAACACACAGCAGAAAGACCAGCTCTGGGGTTTTGGGCTGAGGGCGATTTGTCATCGATGGAGCTTGGTCGCCACCGTGTGGTTAAAATGTGAACCAGCAAGTAGTAGAATAAGTGAGACTTTCGTAAAATGTGGAAATACTGTGTTACTGAGTGACTTCTTGAATTACTGTGTTTGTGATGGTCCGTAAATAAAATAGAAAATAAAATGACAATAATTTTAGAGTAATAACAACAAGCCAATGACGTCATATCATACAGTAGTTCAACATTTACAATGGTCTTTCTCGGACTTGCCAGTTCATGGTTTGACCACATGACGGCGCACAAGCTTCATCGGTACGTGCCTGAGAGCTATAGTATTAATTTCCTATATAAACTCTCTTATATGTATAAATATATCAAACGTACAATACGGACACAAAAATGTTCATACCTGTTTGTATTTGGTATTACATTATTCTTATTTTTATTCTTTTTTTTTCTTTCTTTCCTTTCCCTGTTCTTTTCTTTCTTTCCACCTCCCCCTGGACCATTTTTGACGTTTCGACTTAAAATGACATACGATTTGAAGTGAAATGCTACTACTAATAAAGACAATGATAACAGTAATAGTTATGATAATATGAGTGTTATTTGTTTCATGGCAGTATTTGCCTTGTGTGCTTTCTCTGATTCCATCGTGTTGCTGTTTTATCTGTAGTCTCTGTTGTGCATGGCTCCGCCTCCCGCGACTTGGTTTCAACTAGGTCCTGTAGAGGAGCATAAGTAGCGCGTTGGGCGTTGCGGACTTTCACTCGTTGTCTGCTTTTCGATTTCGAGAGAATACAGGAGCCATGTCAGGAAGAGGAAAAGGTGGTAAGGGACTCGGTAAAGGCGGCGCTAAACGTCACCGCAAAGTGCTTCGCGATAACATCCAAGGCATTACCAAGCCGGCTATCCGCCGTCTGGCTCGCCGTGGCGGCGTTAAGCGTATCTCGGGTCTGATCTACGAGGAGACCCGTGGCGTGCTCAAAGTGTTTCTGGAGAACGTGATCAGGGACGCCGTCACCTACACCGAGCACGCCAAGAGGAAGACCGTCACCGCCATGGATGTGGTTTACGCTCTGAAGCGTCAGGGCCGAACTCTGTACGGCTTCGGAGGTTAAACGCTCGACTCGAACAACGCTAAACCCAACGGCTCTTTTAAGAGCCCCGCACATACTCCAAAAAGAGCTGCTTTGTATGATTTATTTAGCATAAGTGACAATGTCAAAACATGGTGGTTCCATTATTTAGGTATAGTCGTATATACTGTGAATACTGTATATGAACTGTAAAGTTGTTAGTTTATATACATATAAATAAACTGACAATTGTGTACACACACGACAAACAAACCACTTTTTTTTTTTTTTAAGAGCACAAATAGAGAGCCGGTTGGGGTGAATCGTATTATGATACTTTATAACGTTACTAGCTTGATAATCCCGAAAAGTGTTGGTTAAATGCGCTTTGGTGAGTTGATGAGAGTTATCTTTTAAAGACGGATAGCGTCATCTTAGTCTAACGCCTGAACAACAGAAGACAGGTGGGGAGAGTATTTCAAGTAGCTTCACGGCGTTGTATACTGAAAGAGAGGTTTTGAAGTTCCTATTATACTCATGTAGTGAATAGAAACACACAGGAACGTCTGTACAAGGGCGCGGGTTAAGGTGAAATAACAGCGGTATAATAAAGAAAAGCAAAAATCAGAATAACGTTACACACCACGTGTAAGAAAGAAAAAATGCTTATTAGTTCGGCTATAATGCAGAAGCCCGCCACGGCGTTGGGGCAGTGTCTTGTGTTTTGAAAATGTTGGCGCGGCAGAAGACGCCCAATAGCGTTAGACTGAGGCGTGGCCTGCCGTCCAATGGGAGGCGCTCACATCCAAGATGCCCAGAGGGCGGAGAGCAGCTCCAAAGCATAAAAGAGCGGAGGTGTGCGCGCGAGTTCATTCTTTTTCCTTCGCAGAGAAGAGTAGAGTTCGAAGGTATGGCAAGAACCAAGCAGACCGCTCGTAAGTCCACCGGTGGCAAAGCCCCGAGGAAGCAGCTGGCTACCAAGGCTGCTCGTAAGAGCGCTCCGGCCACCGGCGGCGTCAAGAAGCCTCACCGTTACAGGCCCGGTACCGTGGCTCTCAGGGAGATCCGCCGTTACCAGAAATCCACAGAGCTGCTCATCCGCAAGCTGCCCTTCCAGCGCCTGGTGCGGGAGATCGCTCAGGACTTCAAGACCGATCTCCGCTTCCAGAGCTCTGCCGTCATGGCCCTGCAGGAGGCTAGCGAGGCGTACTTGGTGGGTCTGTTCGAGGACACTAATCTGTGCGCCATCCACGCCAAGAGAGTCACCATCATGCCTAAGGATATCCAGCTGGCCCGCCGTATCCGCGGAGAGCGCGCTTAAATTAAACGGAGCGCTCACAAGTTGCCAAAAAAACACCCCAAAGGCTCTTTTAAGAGCCACATAAGCGTTTCAGTCCAAAAGAGTGAATTTTCTAGTCAACTGCTAGTTCTTGTGAGTGCTGTGATGTTATATATCTAATATATGTTAATTTCTCAATATCTGAGCGTGTCTGCGGTTGTTCTGTTGTGTGGATAATGTCACACTATTTAAAAATGATACTGTAATATTGTGAGTTTGTATGTGTTTGTTATATATACACATATATATATTTATATATACATGGAAAGAGCAAGATCTATTTGTATGAACAAACAATGTTTGTGTTTATATAGGTATTCACATACATATTTTTATGTAGTTGTAGTTTAAGCAAATATGGTCTAATTAAATGCATTAACAGTGCATGCGGATGTGAAAGGGTAGTCCCTTTTTTAAAGTGCACATTTGAATTAATGAAAACAAGTCATTGTGTGCACATGTATATTTATATTAACAATTATAGCTTTTTACCTACAAATACTTTACCTACGTGCTGTGTGTGTGTGTGTGTGTGTATTTCTGTATTTGAAGGCCTTCCAGAGTGGAGTCAGAAGAGACTCAAAAATAAACAAATAAAGGTTAAAGTACGTGTCCCGCAGAGGTATGCTGTAGGTAGACTGAGTAAGTTCAGGCAGTTCGTAGGCTGGTGAATTTAGAGCATTGTTTAACTCTACTCAGTGCTGAAACGTTTTATTTATTTTTCTCTCCCAGTAGCAATTCTTTGACTCAGCACCCCTGATCCAGCTCATCAAGTGATTATGAACTGGATCAGGTGTGGTGGGGCAGGGAATATTTGGAACACGGTGTTGGGTGGCGTGGCGTCAAAAGCAAGCAAAATTGAGAACCCCTGAGGACTAAAGCATGGCTTTAGATTTGTGATAAGGTGAGACTGTGATAAAAGTAGTTCTATATCTAGGCATCAGGTCAACAAAGAAGTTAGAACGAGTCAAAATAAGTTTGGAGCTCGGCTTTAGGCTTTTGATGAAGCTTCAGGAAGTATGAGCAAGTACCTATCAAGGCCTCAGGCTTGAGTTAGAGTCATGTTAAAGTTCGAATGAGTAGAAGTGAGTTTACAGCTAGGCCAAAGATGTATGGTGAAATGAGAGTAAGTACTAGTAGGTTAGAAGCCAGGCTTTAGCTCTGTGATATAGAGCCAGGTATTTGGCTCATTGTGTAGTTGGAGTAAGTAAAATTGATCCTTAGGCTAATGGTAAAGTGCCAGTGAGTACAGGTAGGTTAAGAGGTAAGCCTTGTGTTAGAGTAAGCAAAAGTAGTTTTACATAGGTTTATCACTAAGCCTTTGTCTTCAAAAGTAGTCAGTGTACTCCACAGGTAACTGTGGAGCTAGGCCTCAGGCTAATGATGGCGTTAGTGTGAGAAAGTTATTGGTTCATCAGGCTCATGATGAATTGAGAGCATTTTTATATTTATATATAGGCCTCAGGCTAATGGCAAAGTTACAGTGGGTACAAGTAGGTTTAAAGCTGGGCCTTAGGTGCCTGATGAAGTTAGAGTGAGCAAATGGAGGCTTATAGCTGGGCCTCAGACTTCTACTGTGGTTATAGTGTGTAATAATAGGTGCAGGGCTAAACCTTAGGTTTATTGTGTAGTTAGAGCTAGACCATGGGGGCATGATGATATAGGTTAGAGAAAATAGAAACGAGATTAGGGCTAGAGCATAGGCTTATGATGAAGTCAGAGTAAGCAAAAATGGGCTTCAATCTAGGCCCCAGGCTTATGCTGAGGTTAAAGTATTTAAAAACAGGTTAATAGCCAGGGCTTTGGCTCCTGATCTAGTTGGCTTTAATAAACAGAGGTAGAGGGCAAGCTGTTAGGCCAATGATGAAGTTCTGATGTGAAAATAAAAAAAGGTTCAGGGCAAGGCCGCATGCTCATGATAACGTTAGAAAAAGCTAAGGGTGGTTTACAGCTAAGGCTCAGGCCTTTATCATAGTGAAATGAGGAAGCCTGAGGCATAGCTGTGAGGTTATTTTTTCCTACTCGAGCTTCATCGTAAGCCTTATGTCTTGTTATGTACCTCCTTCCTTTCAGTCTAACTGCATCATGAGACTGAGGACTAACTCTAAATCTATTTGTATTTACTATAAGTCTACAGTGGAAGTGCTAAAGTCAAAGTTAGTGAACAACAGGTTATTAGCTAGGCCTTGGGCTTTTATGGTAGCTAAAGTGAATGAAAAGAGGAACCTAACAAGACATCATGCTTATGATGAAGCTATGAGGAGATACTACAAGTAGCTACAGAGTGATGCCCTAAGCTTATGATGAAGTCAGAGTGAGCAAAACTATGTTTAGAGACGTGTTTTGAAGTTAGAGAAAGTAAAGGTGAGTTTACAGCGAGGCCTCTGGCATGTGAAGGTAGAGTTCACGTGTGTGTGTGTGTGTGTACAGAGCAAGGCTTTAAGCTTATGATGTAGTTATAGCAAGCAAAAGTAGTTTTAGAGCAAGGCCATAGCCATATGATGAAACAAAGACAAGTAAAAGGAGGTACATGAGGTTAGATAAATAAAAGTAGGTATAGAGTGAGACTAGAGCTACGCATCAGGCTTGTAATGCAGACAGATTATGCAATAGTGGGTTAAGAGCTAAGCATGTAAAATTAGGTACAGAAAAAGCCATTAAGCTGAGGATAAAGTTACAGTAAGCGAAAGCAGGCTGACTGCCATGCCTCAGGCTTATAATATGGTCAAATAAACAACGGTAGTGTTAGAGTAAGGCCTTTGGCTCTTGCTGATGTTAGAGTGAGTAAAAGCAGGTTACTTGCTAGGCCATGGGCTTATAGCATGGTGGATGTTAGTAGTTAGGCCTTAGGCCCATGATGTAGTTAACATGAATGAAAGGAGCTGTGATTAAAGTAAAAGCAGGTACAGAGCAAGCAATTAGACTAAGCAAAAGGAGGCTTACAGCTATGCCTCAGGTTTATAGTGATGGAGTAAGTAGCAGTAGATGTAGAGTTTGGCCTTAGGTTTCTGAAGAATTTTGAGGAAGCAAAATAAGCTTTCCAGCTAGGCCTCAGACTTGTATTGTAGTCAGAGTAAGTGATGATAGGTTTAGAGCTAGGCCCTTGGCTTATGGTGAAGTTAGACGGAATAATAGTGGGTACAGGGCTGGGCTTTGGGCTTAAGCTGGATTTAGATAAGCATCAAGAGCCTCACAGCTAGGCATCTGGTGTAGTCAAAAACGTAATTGATTTAGAGCAAAGCCTTATGCTTATGAAAAAAGTTAGATTGAACGGTAATCCTCTAAGGCCTAGCTGTTTCTTACTCTAGCTGTAAGATAGGGTATAGAGCTAGGCCTTTGGTTTATGTTTGAGTTAGTGAGTGAAAGGACATCTACAGCATGCAATTAGACATACAATGAAGTTGGAGAAATGAAAGTAATTGCACCATCAGCTGAAAGCCTAGCTCTGTAGTCTGAGTAAGCCAAAATTTAGCTTTTCAGCTGGGCCTCTGGCTCATAAGGTACATAGAGTAAGAGATGTTAGGTTTAGAGCTCGGCCTTAAGTTGTATGGGGAAATTAGAGAATCTTAAGGTAGGTTTAGGACAAGGTCTTAGGCTAATGATGAAATCAGAGGAAGCAAAAGGACGCTTCCAGCCAGGCCACAGGCTTATATCGTAGTTGGAGTGTATGTAAGAGTAGATTTAGAGTTAGTGAAAGCAAGTTAGTCAGCTGGAATAAAGGGATTTTGGCTTATGATGAAGTTGGAGTAAGTGAAAGGAGGCTTATAGCTAGGCCTTGTGCCTTTATTGTAGTAAAATAAATAAAAATGGTTTCAGTGCAAGGCCTTAGATTCATGAGGAAGTTAGAAAAAAGCACAAACCTAAGATCCAGCTGTATAGGTCCTGTTACTTACTCTATGTATATTTTAAGCTAGGCCTTAGGTTTATGATTGTAAAAGTTGGTGTAGGGCAAGGCCTTTAGCTTCTGTGCCTAAGTATTGATTCTTATATCATTATTGATTATTTCTCACTAGTCAAGTGAAAGTTTATTCATATAACAGCACATCAGCAGAGAGCAGGCTCTGTCCCCAGCGGCCGGCGGCTTACGCGTGTGCTTTACTCGCTCCAAGAAAGCTCGTTTAACCCCTAATCAACGGGGCGCTCGGCCAGTGGGAATTCGCTCACGCCCTCGCCGAGGCTCTCCCTGAACGCGGCGTTGAGCTCTCCGAAGGCTCACGCCGCCGTTTGCCACCGTTTATCACAGATTATTGCGCTAAATACACCACATCTTGTTCGGAGCGGGTGGCGCGCGGCGCCCTTTTGAGAGCGCCCTGCGAAACGAGGCATCGCTGCGCGCTCAATCCCGGACTTAGGAAACACAGCAGAGTCTCTTCTATAGGACCGAGCCGTTGGACGCTCTCCAGGTACCGCTTTCGCTCTTATTTTGGTTGCTAAATGCCACAAGAAAACACAGGTAAGAGCGCGTCACTGAGGCACGGCTGCACAGCGCCCGCCGGGTTGAGTCTACACCGTTCCCATGTGGCTTTTAAGGGGCCGGCCCGTCGCCGGAGAGGGAGGTTCCTCTGAACAGTGCAGCTCGCGCTCATTCTCGCTCCGCTCGCAGCAAAGGTAGAACGATGGCAGAAGGTGCTCCCGCTCCAGCCGCCGCCGCGCCGGCCAAAGCTCCCAAGAAGAAAAGCGCTGCCCGGCCTAAGAAAGCCGGTCCCAGCGTCGGCGAGCTCATCGTCAAGGCTGTTTCTCAGTCTAAGGAGAGGAGCGGCGTGTCTCTCGCCGCCCTCAAGAAGGCTCTGGCTGCCGGCGGCTACGACGTGGACAAGAACAACTCCCGCGTCAAGATCGCCGTCAAGACTCTCGTGACGAAGGGCACTCTGGTGCAGACCAAAGGCACCGGCGCCTCCGGCTCCTTCAAACTCAACAAGAAACAAGCCGAGCCCAAGAAGAAGCCGGCAAAGAAAGCGGCGCCCAAAGCCAAGAAGGCGGCCGCCAAAAAGCCCGCCGCTGCTAAGAAGCCCAAGAAGGTAGCGGCGAAGAAGCCCGCGGCCGCTAAGAAATCGCCGAAGAAAGCCAAGAAGCCGGCGGCGGCCAAGAAAGTCGCCAAGTCTCCTAAGAAAGCCAAGAAGCCGGCAGCCCCGAAGAAGGCGGCCAAGAGCCCGAAGAAAGCGAAGGCGGTCAAACCCAAAGCAGCCAAGCCCAAGGCGGCGAAAAAGGCCGCCCCCAAAAAGAAGTAAACGCGCCGTTTTACCTTCGTGTCCTGTTTTCCCCACTCAAAAACGGCTCTTTTAAGAGCCAAACCCACATTTTCCTCTCAAAGAGCTCAGTTTTCATTCTTCCTGCACAAAGTCTTAATTACTAAGTAATTATATGACCAGAAAGCACAAAACTAAACATTATAGTTGAGCTGCCATTTGAGGTTACATGGATGAGAATGGGAGGGGGAATTGGGATAGGAATTTAGTGGGAGAACAAGGACGCGTATACGTTTCTTTGTCTCTCACTCACACACACACACATGCGGCAGCACGAGGGGGGGGGGTGCGGGGTACGTGGACAAGAACGGTGGGCGGGACCTAGAGTTTGACGGCGCTAATACGATTGGTTGTTGCATTTCAGCCAATAGAAACGCAGCCGCTTTAGCTATAAGAAGGGCGTTCGGCGACCGGTACTCATTATTTCAGTTTAGTTCGGCAAAGTTGATAGAAGTGCAAAATGAGCGGAAGAGGCAAAACTGGTGGTAAAGCTAGGGCCAAAGCCAAGACTCGCTCCTCCCGCGCTGGGCTGCAGTTCCCTGTGGGCCGTGTTCACAGACTTCTGCGCAAAGGTAATTATGCCGAGCGTGTTGGCGCTGGCGCTCCCGTCTACTTGGCCGCCGTGCTGGAGTATCTGACTGCTGAGATCCTCGAGTTGGCCGGTAACGCCGCTCGTGACAACAAGAAGACTCGTATTATTCCTCGTCATCTGCAGCTGGCCGTTCGTAACGACGAGGAGCTCAACAAACTGCTCGGAGGAGTCACCATCGCTCAGGGTGGCGTACTGCCCAACATTCAGGCGGTACTGTTGCCTAAAAAGACTGAGAAGGCAGTCAAGACAAAGTAAACTGGCTTTGTCTGATTTTCTTGAGGTAACCAAAGGTTCTTTTAAGAGCCACCCACTTCTGCGATAAAAGTGTAGTTATTTCCTTGTCAACCACCCGCCCATCCCTCCTAAACGAAGAGAAACTGTCCATCAGTCTAGGATTACTTACGTGAGCGTGAAATGAGACACAGCAATCCCACATTCCCCGACTGCATACTGAATATTGTTTAGAAGCTTTCTTTCTACTCGCACTTAACGCAAACTAAAACAAAAACGTTCATATAATGACGCCAGTTATGACGCAATAACGCGTTTCACGCATAAGATGTAGAAAAATTTAGAATTTCAAATTAATCTTGAAAAGATCTACATATTAACAAACACAGGATGATGATACAGGAGCCAGGCGTTGGGAAAAGTATCGTTTTTTTTTTCTTTCCAAAAATGGCGCGAAAGAAGACGCCCAATAACGCTTAGGCTGTGTGTGGGCGACTGTGCAATGGGAGGCAAGCACATCGGTCTTGCCCAATGAGAGGCGAACAGCTCCAGTGTTTAAAAGAGCCGTGATGTGCGCATGAGCTTATTCTCTCTCTCTTTTCTCGAGAACAGTTGATTTCGAAGCCATGGCAAGAACAAAGCAGACCGCCCGTAAGTCCACCGGTGGCAAAGCCCCGAGGAAGCAGTTGGCTACCAAGGCTGCTCGTAAGAGCGCCCCGGCCACCGGCGGCGTCAAGAAGCCTCACCGTTACAGGCCCGGTACCGTGGCTCTCAGGGAGATCCGCCGTTACCAGAAATCCACAGAGCTGCTCATCCGCAAGCTGCCCTTCCAGCGCCTGGTGCGGGAGATCGCTCAGGACTTCAAGACCGATCTCCGCTTCCAGAGCTCTGCCGTCATGGCTCTGCAGGAGGCTAGCGAGGCGTACTTGGTGGGTCTGTTCGAGGACACTAATCTGTGCGCCATCCACGCCAAGAGAGTCACCATCATGCCTAAGGATATCCAGCTGGCCCGCCGGATCCGCGGAGAGCGCGCTTAGATTAAACGGAGCGACCACAAGTTACTCAAACACCCCAAAGGCTCTTTTAAGAGCCGCCGAACTGTTTCAGTCCAAAAGAGCGAGTTTTCTAGCGAACTCAGTTCTTTTGTGTTGTGATGTAGTAACAGATCTCGAAGAGGAGCCCGCGAGCTTCTCTCTGCGGAGTCGTGAGGAGCTGCTTAGTTCCAGCTCAGATGTTCATCCCGTGTTTGATCAGAGTCCGTAATGCAGTGAGGAGTTTCGAGTCTTACAGAAAGAGATGAGAATGAACTCGTTAGTACTTCATCACGGAAATGAGCGGCTGGAGAATCAGAAGTGCAGCACAGTCGAGTATTGTGAGCGCGTGACTAGCGCTACGAACATCACGTACATAGTGAATATGTAGGGCTGCGTTATTGGAGTAAGAGTTTAGCGAGAAAATCACCCCGTGTGTGTGTGTGTGTACGCGCGCGCATCTAAACGAAGGCGGCCGTTCAGAGGAGCTTTCTGCTCAGTATTTACCCAGCACTACAAACACCACCACACACTAAACACAAACACAGCTCTTAATGATGATATGAGTGACTGAAGAAAAGCAGCACCGAATATGGAGTTTCATTATTAATGTGCTGATCAGAGAAAACAGAGCAGAAAGACCAGCTCTGGGTTTTTGGCTGAGGCGGGTTTGTCATCGATGGAGCTTGGTCGCCACCGTGTGGTCAAAATGTGAACCTGCAAGTGGCAGAATTAGAGATACTTTGGTAAAATGTGGAAATGTTGAGTTACTGAGTGACTTCCTGAATTACTGTGTTTGTGAGGCTCCGTAAATAAAATGGGAATAAAATGACAATAATTTTATAGTAATTATTACAACTAAACCAAATCATTTCATACAGTAGGTCAACATTTACAATAAGGAGTTTGATGTTTTTTTTTGTTGTTGTTTTTGTGTGTGTGTGTTAATTAAGATGAGTTTTATACCTATCATGGATTTATGTATTTATTTATTTGTTTCTGTTCCCTGTTCTTTCTTTCTTTTGTTGTACTTTGAACCATTTTGTCTTAAAATGTCATGTGATTTGAAAGGCTGTGAAACGCTGTTACTATTAATGACAGTAATAGTAATAGTTATAATAATGAGTGTTATTTATTTACTTTGTGTTTAAGCAATAAACTTCCAAAAAGGCCTTAGTTTCTGAGATTCCCCCACAGAGGTAGAACAAAGCACAATCATGTCTTTATGTAACTTTAATATCTCAGGTTCATGAAATGGACAGTTTAATAACATACTGTACTGTAGATTTTGTGTAATTCATTTAAAGTACATTACAATAAAAGATTTTGTCCAACACAGTAAAATAATAGTTCTTGATCATTGAATATATATTTAATATATTCTGTAATAATAATAATAAATAAATAACAATGAAGTACACAAATTCAGTATGACATGCCAACAATAAAATCATTTCTCATTCAGCATCAAACATCAGTATAAAGTTGTTTTTTTTTGTTTGTTTGTTTGTTTGTTTTTTTTTGTTCTTATATTTCTCCTATTAAATGTATAAATGTGTTCAGCTCTTTTTTAGATGATTCTGTCTCACCGAACAGGAAAGCCGAGATATTAAACCTTATTTCCGAGATTAAGGCTGTACAGTGAGTCACAGCAGCAGGTCTACATGTCCAAAATGTTCCGAGTCTCAGTTCACTGAGGTAAAAAACCCAAACTGGCATCTTGGTGAAGCACCTGCACTGTCAGAGCGACTGGACTTCACTCTCATTTACAGCCAAGATGGAGGTCCAGGAACTCACCACAGTGACCGCAGTATCAAGTCTTTACTGAACACCTTTCCAGAGACCACCAGACAACAAGCACCAGGGTGGGCAGTGAGTCTGTTCAAACACAGTGAGTATGTATGAGATCTACAGACACATCAGAGGCAGAAACACCAGCTAATGAGGAAACAGCAGCCAGGCCTTCTGTGGCTTTAACACCACGTCTGCAGGTGGCAGTGCCGCCTCATTTGGAGCAGAACACAGTTCTGGATCAAATGAAACACTTACGGTTGTGAGAGGAAGTGTGAGCTGCGTTAAAGAGGAGCTGAAAGAACTGTAGACATTATGTGAAGTTCAGTGAGCTCAGTGCTGAGTAATATAGGGGTACCATGTGACGGTGAACCTGTTCAGTCATTAATGAGGGAGTCTGAAAGAGTCGAGCTCGGATTTGATCAAACTGACTCTCCCTTTAAAATGAATCAGCTCTTCTCAGAGAAATTTCACCTCGTCAAGCCTAAAGAAATATTTCTTGTCCACAGGACGGACACTTCACTGAAACAGGGGCAGCCGAAGTTTAGACACCGACTCGTCAATATATTCCAATTATTGACACAATCAAGTTTTTAACTCAGCTGTGACGAAATAGTCCACTGTAGTCGTGGGTCATTCTGTAGTCGCGTTATATCAGGATCTCCGGGTCTGAGCTCGATTTTTCTACGGTCAGAATGAACGGGGGCTATGAAAAATCGCCTCTGTCGCCTCCTGTGTTAAATAAAAATGACCAGAACCCGATACGGTTTGTCCTGAACATTTCCCCCCAAACATCACTGGATCCTCCGAATTACGAGGTCGTTAAAGAGCCTTAACACTCATATTGCTACAATAAAGCTAAAACTACCGCGCATCATTTTGACGGCACTAAGCTACAGGACACTATGGCGGACTGTGCCGGTGCTCTAACGAGCTGTGCTACCTTGTCAAAATGTCCTACCGTAGCGCATATTTACACTTATACCCGTAAACAGAACCTCTAGGTGGGACATTTTGACAGTGCAAAACTCCTTATCAAAAAATACCGCCACTGTTAAAACTACGAGGCTCAATTTAGCTTCTTCGCAGCTTCTTCTTTGAATCCTCCCGTTCCACCTTAAATGGTGCTGCAGTTGTGATCAGCGATCACAAACACTGGCAAACAAGACAAGACAATGCTGACCTGTTGGTTCTGTGAAAAAGAGAAACCTGCTCATATCAGACCTTTCAACTCTCCATGAAGCTGAATTTAGCTTCTCTTCACCAGCTGCTTGTTCGAATTTTCCCGTTCCACCTTAGGTGGCGCAGTTCAGAATGTAACTGCTGTACCATTTAAGCTACAATGAAGCTCTACAAACTCAGTTACATTATGATGGAGAGACGACCAACCCTTTAATCTCCAAAACACAAATTCATAAATGAGTTCTGTTTATTTTATAATATTTTTTCCACCAGGAAAGTCAGATCCTTGATCCGCTGCTTGAGGACTTCAGAGTTCCTGTTCAAAGGCTGTTAAGCAGACGCTTCACAAATGCGGGGCCTTTTGCAGCTCTTGGCCTTTTTAGTGGGAGAGTGAACCCCCTCCACTCAGCTGCACCTGCTGATTTGATTTTAGTTCACTTATAGTATGAGTCTGGTTTGTTTTAACTGTTATTATTCTTTTTGTTTATTTTAATATTGCCAAGTTATTGATTTACATCTTATTTCCCTTCATATCCCTATTTTATTAATTGTTTTATTTTAATTATTTTCTCCTTATTTTCTTTCTTTCTTTCTTTCTTTCTTTCTTTCTTTATTTATATTACGTTATGGTTTCAATTTTAATGGCTTATTCATTGTTGTTTTTTGTACTATTACATTTACATTGCTATATTTTTACAATATATTTTTTCAATGCTCGTTTTCTGTATTGGCTCGGCTACATTGTAAATGAGGCTCTCTCTCAAAGTAGTCGATTGAGTGATTGATCTGCAGCACTGTTGCTGCCCCTGTTGTATTATTTGTTCGTGCTGTGTTTCTGAAGCAGCTCATTTTAGATCATCACACACTTTTCAACAAACTGTATGATCAAAGTCGCATTTCTAAGCACCCTTTTATGATCCCTTATCCGAGAATGCTCTGTGTTTGGACCCCTCTCTCAGTAAAGCGTATGAGATTTGAAGCAAAGCTCCACCCACTGAAGAGTCGAGCACATGTGATGAGCAGGATCAGGAATATTGCTGAAATTCTGGCCTGGTCAGTAAATGTATGATGCAGTTATGTTAATGTAGGATTTCAAACTTGGAGACTCTTTCTGTAAAATGGATGTTGGTGCTGTAAATGCTGTGAGCACTGGGTCTGTGATTGTTCTGGAAGGACTGAAGTCGGTCTTTAACAGTGACTTTAAATAGCTCTGTTTGGTGACTGTACTTGGCCAAACATAAAGAACTGGATCAGTGTCGCCTCTTAAACCCAATATTATGGAGAGAGTTTATCGGGTGAGATCATTCATATCAGACCTCAGGCTGACCTTCTTCATGTTTTTAGGATTCTCTCAGGTCCCAGCATCCATTTCTACAGAAAAGCTCATAACTGAGAGGCCAAACAGTGTGTTGAACAATGTGTGCTGATCATTAAATGTATTAATTTACCTCAATAAATGCATTAAATTACCCCAATAAATGCATTAATTAAATCATCAGTCAATGTATTTATTTACCCTATTAAATGCATTAATTTAACTTAATGATTCCATTAATTTACACAAATAAATGTAATAATTTATCTCAATAAATTTATTAATTTACCTTGATAAACATATTAAAATACCCCAATAAATGCATTAATTTACCTGAATAAATTTATTAATTTACCTCAATAAATGTATTAATTTACTTCAATAAATGTACTAATTCACCCCAATAATTGCTTTAATTTACCTTAATAATTGCATTAATTTACCTCAATAAATATATTAATTTACGTCAATAAATGTATTAATTTACTCCAATAAAAACATTAATTTACCTCAATAAATTTATTAATTTACCTCAGTAAATGTGTTAATTTACCTAATTAAAAGTATTAAATTAATCCAATAAAGATATTAATTAACCCAAATAAATGCATCAATTTACGTAAAATATATATATTAATTTGGTCTTATTTACTCATCTCACTTTGTTCCTGCTTCTCATCTGAAGTGAATTCTGTAATTCAAATACATGAATTACGTAGAAATGAAGAAGAACGTTTCAGACAGGTGTTCCGATGTGTGTGTGTGTGTGGGGGGGCGCTCTCAATCACAGAACAGTGACGTCATAAAGAGAGACGTCGTGGTCTCCATGGAGACGGGCAGTGTGACGTAGCAGAGCCTCATTCCGGAAAGATCGACACTGAAGAACATCTTCACATATTTTCACACGAAGTTAAAACATTTACGGGTTTCTGCTCCGTCTGAGTCGCGGACCGTCCAATCCGCGGTTCACGGACCACCTGACACTGCAGGTGATGTTTAAATATTTACTCTCTCTCTCTCTCTCTCTCTCCTCTCTCCTCTCTCTCTCTCTCTCCCTCTCTCTCTCTTTAAATGTCAATATATTTCAACAATTTTCTATATAATAAGAGTAAAAAAAGATGTTAGAAACAAGTAATAACATTATATATAAATGTTTGTAACAAGATAAAGTTGATTATGAAATATATTTCTGCAGTATTCCACATGTAGATACTTTTTTCTCCTTTCTCTTTCTTTTCTCCCTCCACCTTTCTTTCTCTCTCTCTCTCTCTCTCCCACTGTTTTTTGCTTTGCTTTTCTTTCTTTGGTCTGTTTGTGATTTTATTC